TCTATTATTTCCTTAGAGAAGGCGGATGGTTGTTCTCCAAGTTTGAGCAACCTAAGTTGCCAGTCCAAAGGCTGGACATTCCTTGCCGCCTGTCCTCCAAAAAGAGTAGGCTGCATGAAATATTGAGACTGCGGGACGTATGGTTGAGGGACATACGGGGCCGCCTGATGCTTGTGGGAAGCTGAACGAAATGAGGCTCCGGGCGTCTGGCTCTCATAATTTGACTTAGAACACCTTAGGGAGGTATTATGTAGGCTGTCTTGGAAATCAGAAGTAGAGGCCGACTCTGACAATCGGTCATTCCTCTTCTGACATAACGGATGGGCTTTCTCTTTCCTGGAGAGGGAAAGTGGTACTTAGTTAGATCGATAACTGGTTCCTCCCTTGCCCTAAGCTTAGGGTAAGGAGTCGCCTCCCGATCCTTTACAAGCTTCTTCCTTCCAGATTGGGAGGGTCTTCTAGCTGATTGTTCCTTTGGTGGAACTGTCGTCCTTTTGTTGATTAGAGGCTAGATCTCCCCCTTGAAACTATTCATGAAGGTTATGAGTTCGTTTATAGTGATGGGGGCAGATCCCTCGGCCGCATGTTGATGATCAAGCGGCTGGCCGACTGGTTTACTAGATCCAGCTAGGCAGTCCTCCCGTTCTTTCCTTTCGGAGGGACGGGTGCGTCGAGCTCTTAAGGTCCCGTCAGAGGCCGTATGAGTCTCGACTTCAATTTCATTGTCAGTGCCCTAGTCCGTCTGAATTGAACCAGGGGATCGTCCATGGGACGCTTGTCACTTAGAATCGGTACAAACTGTGATTCCATCTCAAAAGTACTCTCCCCACAGACGGCGCCAAAATGTTTTGGGGGTTTTTTAATGTCCTGCGGGAGAGTTACAATTCCGGGACTGGTACCCTTGTGCCTGTACCTGCAAAACAACGGAGACTCCGGGTGGTGGGAGCTCCGCCTCCGACGATCAAGTTAGTACTTGTATGTGGAGTAAAAAGGTGCGGAAAGTAAAAGGTGATCTGGTTCCTCTAGGGGAGGAGTGATCAGGAAGTGCAATTAATTGCTAAGTCAGGTCTAGCAATCAGAAAGCACGGGTGTTTAGGTTTCTCTAGGTGAGAGTACTTAATTCTCAATCCCCTTTTTTGAGGATTAATTAATGTATTTATACTCTTGGGAAGCGTGCCCAACACTAGGTTTAGGTCAACCTAGGGCTAATTGGGCCTTTCTCGGAAACCGGGCCTTGGTGGCCGTTTTCCTGATTGACAGATGGAAGGCCACGTGGCGTGGCATGAGTGGTCTAAGCTAGACTGATCTCTGCTTGACACGTGGCAGGTCCTTGCTGGTCCATGTGGCGGAAACATGGCAGGACCTGATTGGTCCACGTGGCAGACAGTGATTGGGCGGGGAAAATCCCCTAATCAGGTACCACTATACTTTTAATTTATTCTCTACTGTAGCATTCCATTAAATATACTATGTATTCTTCGATTTGGGTGTCATTAAAATTGATCGGTTAAAGTTTTAAGAGGATGGTAGCCCTTAGCGGCCTTAAGGTTCAAGTTTGAGGTCGGAATTAGCAAAAAAAAAAAAAAAAAAAAAAAAAAAAACGCTTAAAATGTCGCGGTTTATGTGCAAGAAAAATGTCACAATTTGTATATTTTGATTTATTAAAAAAATATGTTCGGTTAAAGTTTTGGGAGTCATTATGACTTTAAAGGATCAAATTTTACAGTCGAAAAAAAAAAAAAAAAAAAAGGACCACAATTGTCCCAAACTAATGTTACATTTAATGAGATGTTATAAGTAAAGAATAAGTCAAAATTACAACAATACCTTTCGGAGTAAAACTAAAAATTGGGCACCAAAGGGAAAATCCCTAAATGTGACATGAATCCCTATAATTTGTATATATCAAAATCATATAAAGCACATATTGTAACATACGAGTATAATTTAAATTATATTAAGTAATAAGTACTTCAAATATACTCGAACTTTGTAGTTAAAATTTCAAATTTTAGTAGTTAATTGGAATATTATAAACTCGAACTTGAGTACAAATATACAATTCCAAACCTCCAATCCAAAACCTTTGTGACCACGTTTGATTGAAACTGTAATAAGTACTAGAGTATACAATATGACAAGTTTGGATTGATTGAACAAGACTTTAGACTTGGACATGAATCTGATACAAATCCAAATCAAACTCGAGCTTGTTTTTTTATTAAACAAAAATCAAACTCGACCTTAATTTAAAATAAATAAACATTTTATTTAGATAGAATGAAATGGAAGGAAAAGGAGATAATAGAAAGAGAGGAGGATAATTTCTCTTGTTTAGGTAATGACTAGATATTTCTCGAGTCATACTTTGTTTTTAAAATCAAGGGGCTGTTTGGTTGGGGTTAATAATTAAAGGGAAAGGGAATGAGCAGGTCTCATTTCCTTTGTTGGTGTTTGTTTGTCACCTTTAATCATTCCCTTTACCCATTTTTATTTTTGAGTTTACCCAAAATCAGTCTATATTGATTCCCCACCCCCCCTGCCTTTTCCATTCCCTTTTCTTAGCCACCATTACACCATCATGTCTACACCAGCAATCACCCTTCTACTCTACCCCCACTGCCCAGCCACCTCGCCGCCCTTCCCCCGGCCATTGCCGTCCCTTCTCTGCCGCTCGCCGACCTCCGGTAAGATCGCATCTCCCTTGAAAATCTTCCCCGACCCCTCGTCAAAACTTGTAATTGACGGCAATGGCTGGTTTAGAGGAGAAGGAAAGGTGAAAGGGATTAGGGGAAGATTTTGTGCGACGGGCTCCAGGGGATTCCGACGAGGTGGTGGCTGGGCGGTAAGGTGGCTGGAGAAGTGGGAAAGTGAAGGAAAAAGGGGTTGTGTGGTGGTGTTGGTGGTGGTGGTTATTCCCTTTGATTTTTAAAAACAAACAACACACTACATGGAATGGTTTTTCATTCCATTCTCTTTTATTCCCTTTGTTCATTCCATTTCATTTACCTTGTGCGAACCAAACAACCCGTAATAGTAATTGAAATTCAAATATAGAATTCTCTAGAAAAATGTAACTTATAAGTCAATCATAACAATAAATAATAAAATAGTACTTTTGCAAAAATCTAAAAAATCAAAAGAAAAAAGGTTAAGTAGAATTTAGGAGGGAAAATCCCTCCAAAAAAAACTTTGCTTTAATATAGGTTTATTTATGGATTGGTGGAAGGAAAGGGAAGGAGAGGGAGGGATCCATTATCCCTATCTCTTTAATTAGTCTTAAATAAGCATAATCCCTCCTAAATGGAAGAGATTTGGAGGGAAAATGGAGTTTAGCTTTCCCCTCCCTTTATCTCCCCTCGACCCTTCCCCTTCCTCCTATTTCCCTCCCCTTCCTTAATTTCCTCCCTTATTTGCTATCCAAATAAAGTGTGACTGATATTCTATCCTAAATTTGATTAAATAACCAAACTTATCTTATCCAAAACCGACTCAAACCCGTAATGTTAACATATATGTGATCACTTAAATTAATAATTTCAAATCAATATAGTCATATAGAAACATTGAATTAACATAATTCGATTTTTACATTACCCTTCACGTCCTTAACTGATCTCATTGATGATCTTTCTGAATTTGCAAACAAATTTATTCACATTACCATTGTTTATAATCAGTAAACAAATTGGCTGTTAATTAATGTGGTTTGTTTTAGACCATGCTTGACTAGTTTTAGTGGAAGGCTGGAAACCTACATCCTAGGCTAGCTCTTATGGACTTCAATGCTTAAGTGTATATGGTTAACTCTTCATTTTTCTATTTTAGTAGTTTATATTAGCCCCTGCTTACTTTGGTAGATATTACTCATGTTAGTAGACGAATGTCACAAAAAATTGGACTAACTTAATCTATTGTGAACTCAACCAATACCTCGTCACAAAAAAAAAAAAAAAAAAAGAAAAAAAAAAAATCAACCAATAACACCTAGTTCATGGGGAGAGGGAGCCCCAGTTGATCTATTAGATCAACAAAATTTGTCAATCTATATTTAGTCGTTGTTTAGTGATGCTTAGTCACTGCTTAGTCATCAAAGTAGACATTAATATTCCATTGAAGCTTCAACCTTCCTTCCACCGATACCTCCCACTTCCTTCCACCGACACCACCAATTCCACCATGCCGACACCATTTGCATCACCTTCTCCTTCCACTGACACCATCTGCATCGTCTCCTCCTTTCACAAAAACCATCATCTTCTACCGACGACATCACGGCGGCTTCGCCGCCAAATTAAACGAAACCCCTATGTTAAAAAGGTGAAATTAAGGGCATGGTTAACCTTAAAGGGGAAGGGTGCTATCCTCCTCCATTAATGCTACCCTTAGAGCTTCAATTTCAATGGAAAATTTCGAAAATCGCCATCCATTTATAAAATAGAATAAAAAATTAAAAAAAGGATGTCGTACCGTGCTCAACACCGATTCCTTCTTGCTAGCGGTTGCCGACAACAGGGGTGTCATAGTGGTGGTGATTGTGGTCGCTGCCTTAGGCCATGAGGCTTGGTGTTTATTGTGGTAAGTTTGCCGTTCAACTGGAAGATGGAGATGGTGATTTGGCAATGGTAATTTGGCAATATTTCCTAATCATGGTTGTGCTTTTACCAAATTGTCCTATACTAAATGAAGGAAAAACCAAAAATGCCCTTATAATTGACAATTTTTGTTGATCTAGTAGATCAACTTGTATTTCCTCTTCATGGGGACTCAACCCTTGCTTGCTATATCAAGTTTAACTTTAACTTTGACAAGGTTGATTAGAAGTTCGATTCAAAAAAAAAAAAGGGTTGATTACGAGTTTAGGACTTTGGTAAATGGATCGGTTAAATAAAAAATCGAAGGACTCTGAAGATATTGTATCAATAATGGCATTCTTATTGTCCATCTACGTGTGTATCAATGTCAATCATCAAGTAATTCCTGAGTATTTCAGCCCGTTCTTCCTGCAAATTTCTGTCATTTATCAAGACAACATTATTGGAATTTGTCCAATTACAGTTCCATACATTCAGTACAATTATTCTCCTTTCTATGAGCAAAGGATTAGTGCGCTATTCAATCCTGAAGGATGGCTGCAATACAAAGTCGCCATTTAAGAACGTGGCCTCAGCTCTCTTCAAAAGTCCATATTCAAATCCTTGGTTTCTTTGGTTCAGTTGAAAATCCAAACTGAGGAGTCTATTTTGCCCAGAGTTTGAAGAGAAGCACAGACGGTAATTGGTAGATGATGTAGAGATTATCTTCTGGGTGTTAGAACTACAGCTAACAATATTCTGTAGCAAAGCTACAGATCATGGTTTCAGTGAATTATCAGTTTTTCTGAGGCCCAAGGCAAGCAGCTGTGCTAGAGGAGAGCTGTTGCTGCCCAGTGCTTCCTTTCACAGCTCCAAAAAGAAAAAAGGACTCGTATAATACAAGCCTACAAAATCTCCCAACTCAGGCACTTGCCCACCTAATATACCACACTTGAACAAGTTTGTTACCAAGAACAACAATGAATGACGCTGATATACTACTAAAATTTACAAGCCAGATGATTTATGATACACATATCTTCCACGTCCCACCATGTACACTGCTATTGCTGAATAGAGGTTGCAACAAGGACATATCTACAGCTCCCTCACACTAACGCCTTCCATTAGAAGAATTCATGTTGTCAAGTTGCATCACTCTCCCGCGCAACTCTTCAATTGTGTTGGATGCATCCTGCTAGGCAAAAAAAGATGAAATGAGCAGATTCACGACACCAGATATTGCACTGTTATTTTTATGCTGTAAAAAAAGCAACGACATGAATCTACTAGTGAAAGAACAAACTCTTAGTCTTTTTCTCAGATTTTCCTCTTCAACGTCTCGTCTGTCTCTCTCCTCTGAGAAAATGTCAATTAGACTCTCCTGCTCCTTGTTGAGCTCCTCAATTTTACATTCCGCTTCATGGAGCTGTTCGTCATAGAATTAAAAATTAAGGGACAAAATTATTTCAAAAAAAACAGACGCTCCACAGTTACAGAGAAGACAATGCATCAAATAAAATAACCATCATGTCCATTCACAAGAGGGAGCCATAAAAGAGGAACTGTGATTTTTATTGCATGGTTTCAGATTTGTTACTATGATTATTTTACCAATTAGAAAGAAACCGTAACATGTGTCACAAGAACAAAAGTGGGGCAAACCATAGATTCATGCAAGACTACAACCATCTGATTCCTACCACAGTAAAATAGAGTGGGGGAAAAGCATTCAAGATCGAAGTACAGAAAGGAGAATTCAGAAAAGGAGGTTGATACTGTAAGGAGTCAATGAGTTGCAAGAAACAATTTAGAAAATAATAAGGATAGATTAATCGAATTCGAACAGCTAGAGTTTGGAAGTTTGTTCGCAGTGACTAGTTGGTATTACGGATTCTACCTTTGTTTCAAGTGATTTGCATTTGCCTCTTTCAAATTGCAAGTTGCGTTGCAAAGCATCTAGCTTCTCCCCATTGTTCCCCTCCAACCTAATTAAAAAAAAAAATACAAAAATGTAAGCATAAAAAAATGTATCTGAATGCCATTATATATCAGTAAAGATCCTCTATCCTATTTCATGTCTCAACTTTAGACTCAAACTCTTCTTCACTTGCTTCATCACCAACATTACAGTTTTGATGCAGAAACCAGTAAGACAACAGATTAGACACAATGAACACAGATCGTCTGGAATCAGAATCACAGTCCAACTTTCCTACCTTTCTTTCAATAAACGATTCTCCTCTTTCAACTCATCCAAAACTTGCAACTTCTCTTTCAATATACGATTCTCCTCCTTCAGCATATCCAAAGCTTGCAATCTTTCTTTCTCCTTTTCTGACTGAACCAAACCTTGCAAATCGGAGGAGGACGTGGGATCCATAGCACCATTAGCACTTTTTTCCTGTCAAAAGTAATTTAAAAAGAAAAATGGAAACTCATTAGAAACTCAACCTGTTACGCCAAACAAGGAAACTCTGAATTAAATTTAGCTTTCAGATATCTAGCAGGCATGATGACAACAAGAAAGGAAACCCAAACCTCATTCTAATATGACCACCTTAATTTTACCAACCTAGCCCATGAATTTCATCAATGCAATATCTGCATTGTATATGATTCAAATTTGTTTACACTTTAAAATATTGGAGTAAAACAGCACTCAATTCAGACGTGCCTCAATTTTAGAATTCAAGAATTCTTCGGTCAGAGCTCCAACTCTAGATAGATATCTAGGAAAGACTTGCCTTTTCAAGCCGCACATGGACAGACCATTTCCGCCCTCATTTAAGTAAAACAGAAGCATTTCAAAAAAGAGAAAACTCGATAGATAAAATTTTTGCTGTACACTGTCGTTGATCCATTTTCATATATGACATCACAGCCTACTTTTGACATGAAGAATCATCTGCTCATGCAATAACTAGTTCTTCCAAAGTGAGCATGCATCTAAGAGAACTGTGCACAAATCAATTATACACTGACAGAAATGTGAATATACCTGTTGTACTGCACAGCTCGTTGTTCCAGAAGGAAAAGCTTTTCCTGACTGGTCTTTGTCAGTAGTCTTCAATGTTGAATGACTAGTTTCAAGAGTCTTCAATGTTGAATGACTAGTTTCATTAACTCTCTTCCTTAAAACCCTAGGTAGCTCATAATTGTCAGAAGTATCTTCCATAGACGGTGATGATGGCTCTTCAGAACTTTCTCTAACTCTGGCAGTGCGGTCATTCCCATATTTCTCATTCACTGATACATGTTTTCCCGAAGTTTTCTCTCCATTCTTGTCAGATGATTGCCCATTTCCATATTTCTCATTCACTGATATATGTTTTGTCGCAGTTTTCTCTCCAGTCTTGTCAGATCTACGACCATTTCCATATTTGTCGTATTTTCCCACTGTATTCCCTCCATGCTTGTCAGATGAACGAGGGGAATAAAGCTTATCATAATCCACGCCTCTCCCTTTGCTTTTAGCACGTGATGATGGAGTGTAATCAGGAGAAGATTCTGCCATTGCCGGTTCAGAATATGAAAAACATATATTAAAACTCAAACTCCTTTACAGTAAGATAAAAATTCCAGCTCATGTTATTTCGATTTTTATTTTTATTTATTTTTTTTGTTGGGGGGGGGGGGAATAGTACATAAACGTTTTCTACATTTTCTCCCTACTGCGTTCTTTTAATTAAAATAATAATTTAGATTTTGAATATAGTTTATACCTAAATTAATTCATTACAAATGGTTTAGAATATAATGTAATTTGAAAATATAAAACAGGAAATCTAATATTGTCAGCTTTGGATGCATATTGATATCGTATTATTTATAATGGCTTCCTTAGATAGTAAAGAAAAGGAGACATTAAGAGCCCCTCATCACGAGAGATAATTCTTATGCATACATTGGTACACCAACTAACAAAATAAGTTTGGAAATAATTGATCACTTAAAAATTGTAATTTTTTTACTCTAGTCAAGAAGTAACAGAAAAATAGCAACCCACTAATAATCAACCACAAGTTAACTTTCATTCAGGCATAAATGATAATTATATACCTCTGTCTCCCGCTTCTAGTTGTTTCTTGTTGATTCTAGGTGCATAGCCAATCTTATGACAGTAAGTGCGCCTGAACAAAGAATAATAACAATGTTTAGATCTGATGAAGAATATAATAAAGCAGAAATAAGCATTGGGTGAGATAACAGACCAATAGTTTTTCTGCATTTGCACCAGTTTATTTTCCAGTCTGGCAAGAACTGTAGTGCGCTCAAACCCCTGCTTATCATGAGCTGGCTCAACAAAGTTTGCTTCTAGCACACCTGTAATACATGTTTTGGCTCAGATTGCTGAACTAGATTCAACATAAAGGAGTAATGAAAGGAAAAAGCAGCACCTATGACACCTCGGCCATCACTTCCAGCAGCGCTCCAGACCCTCCAGAAAGGCTAATGCAGCAAAAGTAACCAAGAGAAAGCTCATATCAGATGCAAAGTGTTTATGTAGGGAATCAAACTATGAGGAATAAAAGTATCCACATAACATGTGAAAATCAGAATCATGAAAATGAGGTATCAAGCGACAAAATCGAGAGGAGATGTTACGAATAATGTCTCCATGGTTAAGATGAACACCATATATGAGAAAACACTATAAGGTAACAATAAAAGACATGTAACTAACCTTTATTAGACGATTCTTATGATAAACATTAAATCCTTGAACATCAATATGAGCTGTCGCGTCTTTCACAAATCCAATAGTGACAATAGCAACCATCTACAATTAGACACACAAAATGCAATGAGCGAGATAGCAGTAAATGTAATTAAAGATGAACATTAGTTAGTGAATAATTACATCTGCATTCCTGGGAGCACCATCAGCACCAGGCTGGGGACGGTACGTAACCTCCTCGCTCATCATCATGTCATTCACTACGTTGTGGTGCTCAACATCTTTTCCTCGAATTATCATACGGTATCTTGGTGGAAGTCTGAGATATAGAATTGATGCATAACTCTGAAGGTTGAAAAGCAGGAGTATAATTAGAAAGGGACACTGCTAAAATAATACTAATGTCCTCACTCCTCAGACAGTCAGACCTCCGCAATTTGCAAAAATTAATCAAATAGAAGGGAAAGCAACAGCGAAAATCTAGAGAACCATGTACACAGAGTTGATCTATGTATTCATGTAAAAGAGCTGAAGACAAGAATCACATTCCCCCTCCAACCCCCCCCCCCCTCCCAGCCCAATAAAACCAAGCATCATGGGAGCAAAAGTTGTATACTTGAAAAAACTGCTTAGCAAAGAACAAGATAGACATACAGGGAAAGTGGAGGAAAAGATAACAAGGGCTCACTGTCTGAAGAAAGCAGTAAGATATTATATCACAAAAACAAGAGGAAGAATTTTCCTAGCCAAGTGTTTTATGAATAATTGAAAAATCGCCATATCAAAAGCATTCATTCAATAATTTACGTCTCTTGTGGCCTTGTGGGAGGAGGAACGTTAAAAAAACAAAAATATTAGCAGTAACAGAGAATATGAATAAAGTTTTATTTATCATCTCTTCAACTATCCAACAATCAACTTCCATGTCCAGGCTTGCACTCAAAACGATACAAACATGTTCAAAACTCCGTGAATCACTGAGATATTCATCTAAAAAGTTGGACATCATATGAAGCAACTCACATTGATTTGCCAAGTAATTGAAATCTTTAACATTATACAAATAAATATCAAAAGCAGTATCAATTACCCTTAATGAGTGCCTGTAAGTCAAAAAATGTTTAGAATTTGGGTATTCCTTTGCCATTTCTACGCTCTTCTCATCTCTGTTGACACCCCTAATTTGAATATCCTGTCATTTCACATCATCAATATTGTTTACAAGCAGAAAAAAGAAAGACAATAGCACAAAATACTAGGGAAATAAAGAGTTCAATAAATGACAAACTTACATGTGGATCAGAGTTGAAGTCAAGTTCCAGTAGTCCTTGATCATCCTCCCAGAGGTTGTATATGATTATACGTGTACCATGGTCTTTCATTAAATTAAACTGCAGCAGTGCAAGGCCATTTTAAACAGAGTGGCTGTTTAGGATGTAAAATTATAAATTCATACCACATAAAAACCATGGAACTTAGAATTAAGGTAAAGTAGAAAATTCTAACGGACAACAAGGGATTAAATTTAGTCTGAAATAAATATGATAGAAAACACAAGATATTAGTCTACAGCTATATACTTGAAATATATCATGCTTTACAATGAGTCTATGAGGATATAAACTGCTCTGTGGCTCTGTAGTCTGTACCCTCAGTTTCATTTACAAGAAGAATGAGAGCTCGAAAAAGCAAAGCCAAAATTCAGAATACAAGATGGCCACCAACAATTCACCTTGCAACAACTAAAAAGTGAATGATTACCTGTTGGAGGAGTTCAGTTTCGCTTGAATATGGTGACCAGTTTATCATTGTATCAACATTTCTTATCCAATCATCGGCAGAGGACCGCATCATCTTCTGCCATTCCCTCTCCCTCATTTCATAGTCAAGCTTTGAATCCAACAGCAAAGTAGACAGGATTAGAAAAGTGCAAAAGATATAATAATCAGAAAACACACAAACAGAAAATTTATATTGGATAATTTATAACATCAACTCTGGTTAAAAGTCAACAGCATATTTCAAGTATTTCAGAACTAGCTAGGGAACAGTGAACCACAATAACTACATGAGCAGGTCTCAGAGTTACAAAACAAGTTATTGAAACCAAAGCAACTGATACTTTGATTATTCGATTGTATGTTGGGTCAAATGGCCCCCAAAGAATATACAATTATACCATAAACCAAAACCCATTTATTGATTAAATTCATTCTTGAGGGGAAGGGAAATAGAGGCAATAGATTTAGAAGTGGTTTCTTTATACTATTCTTCATGTTTAAATTAAAGAGCAACATATATATGCTAGACACAACAATAACATGAAAGAGTATGTCGACATTACAATGGGAACTACGATGTCTTCCTTTCCTGTGCTTCTCAAAAATGTATACGACAGCAACCCAATGCTTTGTGTGACGCTGAAATGTACAAGAACATAAAATCAGAAATTATTAGATATTTGACATACAGATGATGGAAACTATAAATAATTACACGCTCAAACAATGAAAGAGAATATAAAGTGTAGTAGACAATGACCAACAAGAAAAGCATTTCTGTCCCGATTGTAGCAATTGCTTAAATCGCTACACGGATCCTTATTGTCCAGTCTAGTTGGTCAGAAGAGGCAAAGGTCAAAATCTTCAGGATTATGTAGGAAATCAAGACATAACTTGAGCACACAATTCGTCAAAAAAACTCAAATTTCAACACCGTTCTAATTTCCTCAGTTTGCACTAGACTTGGGTGTGTGCAGAGTACAAATTTTATCATTTAGTACAAGAGCCACACTGAGTTTCCCAAAAGCAAGAAACTGCCACAAGATGACCATCTCAACAGGAATTCTGCTTACTGGATAATTTCATACCCTCTTCAATCAAATTTCTATGTGTTTCCATTCATACATCATATTAGTCCATCAGTCATCTCTAAAACAGTAAAACTACATTCTTTACAATAAATCTAGTGTAAGAATCAGGAACTTCAATTCCAGATCAGATTATTGAATTTACTAAGTTTTTCCAATTTGCAGAATTAAGGGAAGTTGTTGTGAGATTCATCATTAAAACCTAAACCAAATCTGTGCACATAGGGTTGCCGGATCAGATGATTGAATTTACTTAGATTTTCCAATTTGCAGAATTAAGGGATGTTGTTGTGAGATTCATCGTTAAAACCTAAACCAAATCTATGCACATAGGGTACACAGGAAATGCTTGGTTGATATATTATGCTGTCATAAATGAGATACAGAACAGTTGCAACTTGCAACAAAAAAATAGTAAATCTCAGTCCAATGCTCATGACAAAGACCTAAATAGGGAAGCAATTCTGAAGCTTTCACTCTTCACCTTGCACTTGAAAACAATTTTCATGATTTTTCACAAGCTGTTCACAAGTGGCTTGTCTAAAAGCGATGAAATTGAAAGACAACTACAAGTTCCATATGAAGCATAATTAGTAATGAAAATTATATGAAAAATAAATAGACATATTTGTGTAGGACAAGCATCCCCATGTGTACTTAATGAAACATAATTTCTGCATTAAAATTAGAGACAAAACAATAAAATGCTTATCTAGGATAAACTAGTCAAAGATGGGTTTCGAGACTTAAGCATATCTTAATGGATAAAGTCCATCTTAGTAACTTAATGGCTCAACATATGTCCTGGTATATGTAATTCTGTAGAAAATTTATAAGGGAATCCAAACTGGGACACAGAAAAACAAAAATCACTACGAGAAAAATTTGCCATTTTCAAACAAACCTTTTACCATCTTTTCCACAGCTGCGTGAGAAGACAATAACATCAGCTCCAAGCCTCATAGTACTTGTCTTGAAGCCATTGCCATCTTGAAAGATAACAGATAAGAACATGTCAACAGTCTAACACAACAGGAGAACCAGACACTTACTGAAAACAAACATATATACAGCAAAATTCACTTACATTGCCCAATTGTATTCGCCAATTTGCTCTTTGCAGAGTACCCCAAGGACATACATTGACGCATTTTATCAGGATCCATCCCACCACCATTATCTATATGAAAGGTTACCAACAAACTCAGAAGAAGTTTGAGATAGTTAAGTCCATAGCAATTCAGCATTTAATAGCCACATTGTTATAATGTTGAAACCACATCATAAGAATTCAGTATATCAACTAAAAGCCACCATTCATCATAAAAAGATGAGGTGGTGATAATTTTATACCTAGAAGTTCCAAGTAGATTTCATTAATCATTGTAAGAGGCATATGATGGCCAAATAGATTAGAAGTTAGAACATGAATTGAATAATGAATAGAAATGAAAGGGGATGAATGCCTATAAAAATACTGCATCAAAGAGGCATGCTACCACTTCAATAGTTCAATCAGTACCTTCAATCAGCAACATTTTATTCCCATCTTTCTTATTTATAAGCATATCTATGTTGACAAATGTTGCTCCATTGCAGACCTAACAGTAAAAAAATCAGAACCTTAGTCATTGCAGACAAAGTAGACACTCTAGACAGGACATGTATTCAATAGTTAATCATACACAGAGAGGCCAAGTACCTCATCCAATGAATTGTCCAAGAGCTCCGCAAAAGCTACACAGAAAAGTGAATGTGATAATCTCATTAGATAAACAAGAGAAGACAGAATTGAGAAAAATAATAATACAAACATTTAGAGATAATGCAAAGACGGGACTTCCACAGATAGAACATGTAGAATGTTCTTACCTCCAAGAGCCCACTTATGACTAGTGGCATTAGAATGCAGAAACTTGGGGTGAACCCTAACATGATCCATTCCACCTGCAAAATGATTAAAAGAAATTAAAATCCGTATCCTGCTGCTGATTGATTAGCAGTTAAATCACAGAGAAGGTTTTTATCACTTAAAGGACCAGACAAAAGTGATCACAGAAAGCACTGAATTGAAAGAAAAAGAGCATAAAGTTCAGATTTCAAATGAAAAGGTCTATCATGACGATTTAGTTGCCTAATGGAACAATCAGGTAACTCGATAATCCATAAATGTTCTCCATTAATGTGAAGGGCATTGATTTTGTCCCCTTACTCCATCAATGTATGTCCTTCAGTATAATCCATAAAATATGCTCTCCATTAAGGGTTCTTTGCTCTGTCAAGTAACTCGATTAACATAGGAGGAACTTGAGCTTTTGTTGAGCATGGGGCTATTGAGTATAAAGGCTGTAATTAATTAAAACTTCATTCTGTATACAAATTCAAATTTAAACAGCAATCCGCTTTTCTTAGAAACCAACCCAACACCATTATGAAATATCAAAAGGCACACATAACCACATTGGGTGTACGAATCGCATTAATATTAAAAAATCCCCTTCTAAAGAAAAATAACCCTTTAATCTTCAAATGAATTACCAGCAAATCAGCAACCATGTTCAAAGCAAGACCTCCGTATTATGTGAAGTTTCCCAGGAAAAATAACCATAACTAAACTGTCTGTAATTAGATGTATAATTCAACAAGCATTAGTGCCCTAAAAGAATCACTTATTTCCAAGTTTTCAGTCTTCCATACTAGTATTAAAAATCACAATTGCACCACAAAACCAGATTATCTCTCTCCTTTCGCCACGAAAACCCTCCACAGTTCATGACAGAAACTCACTTCGCAACGAAAACCCTCCACAATTCATGTAAAAGCGCACAAACTAAATAATCAATCTACAATAAACCACTACAAACAATTGTTCTCAAGCCATAAAAACAAAAAAACCCAGTTACTTGAAATCAAAATATTAACTAATTCAACTTCCCATTAACAATTCCCCCCAATTACTTGCATTCAAAACCCCATTACAGTCCAAGGATCAACTTTCAATTAAAAACATTATAAATCTTCAAGCAACGAATTTCACACACATTTACTTAAATTTCTACAAAAATCACACAGCACCAAAAAAAAAAAAAAAAAAAAAAAAAAAACCTAAAAACAAACCAATTTAATAAAACACAAAAATTAAATCAAACCCAGAAGAAAAAAACCTGTATTATTATCCCACTTTGCACAAGGAGCACCCTCATAATCACCCGCCTTCCAAAACTGCTTATTACCCTGCGAACTCACCGGAACCGGCGGAAGTAGCAAAGCAGACTCCGGCAACGACGGAATAGGATCTAGAAACCCCGGCGGAAGAGAACCATCAACAACCTTCTGCTTCTTGGCCGGAACACCGCCATTAGAGGAACTCAAAGCTCTCTTCTCGGCGCCCCCATCGCCGGCGTCATCGTCGTCGCTAAGATCAATGACGGGAGCAGGCGCCGACGAAGGAGTAGCAGCATTGACGGCTCTGTCTCGCATTCGTTGGAAGAGAACTTCGTATTCTTGCTTAACTTGTACATCCATGGCGGAAGATTTTTGCATGGAAGAGAGAGAATAAGAAAGAGGAGAGAGAAAGTCAATTGAGTTGAATTGAATTGAATTTTATAACAGCAGAAAATATTGAATTGAGAGAGAAAGTGTTTTTTTTTTTTTTAATGCTCAAATTTGATGTACTCGTCAATAAAATAAAGGGATGATGAAACGAAATGCAATTTTTTAAAGGGAAAAAAATAAATGGGAAATTTACGGTAGAATTTTTTTTTTTTTTTTTTTTTTTTTGTAATTACGGAGTGGTAATTGTGGCGGATTGGCGGGGTAATTAAGCGTTGCTTTTGAGAAGGTTAATGGCGAGTAAGATTATGAGAATTGGGGCGGTTTGATTGGGTTGTGGTGAATTAATTAATTAATGAATGGGATTAATATTTTTAGTGAGAAATGAATTGGATTAATAATGGGTTGGTCTAATTAATCGTATTAAAAGATATCTAAGAGATTATTAAAAGATGTCTAAGAGATTGTGTACTCCGTATAAACGAAGTATTTGGTTCTTTCTAAAAATAAAAAAATAAAAAAAATAATAAAAAAAAACAACGAAGTATTTGGTTCTTGTCTTTGAGCCTTTGAGGGCATAGGGTTTGTGTTTGACTAATTTTTTTTATTGATGAAATAGATCTAAAGGCGGTAATTCGGTAAACCAAAAAGAAAGAATTATAAATAATGAAATCGATTAGGGGGAAAGGAAAGGAAAGGAAGACTCTTTGAATATTCAACTAGTATTCAGCCCTTGCGATGCACGGATTAAACTTGTATTGAATTAGTATTGAAAGAGCGAAATGTGATAATATTACAACACCAAATTATAGTGATAGAAGTTAATACAAAAGTTAAGCACAAATTGTGAATTTAAAGTTGCCTATCTATGCACAACTTATTTCATTCTACAAAACATTCAATGACCTGTAAACAAAAAAAAATCAATGACCTATAGTGATGATGAGTAACAATATACTAATGTACTATACATACAAATTCAATACATACATGTTTAGTTGAAAAACCAATCTTAGCTCATGTACCATATCAATTTGATTATGCCAAGTATAGTGATTAAAACTTAAAGATTAAAACTTGTATGATATAAAAGGACTTGAAATATTTATGCCTGTAGGTTGAATAAAATTATTTTTCAAATTTATATACAAATATATTAATTTCAATAGGTTTACATGTACAAGCTATAGGAACTAAGAATGGCAATATTCTCGATCATCTTCTCAAACTATTCCATGATCAGGATTCTCCAAACCTTTTGCAATTCATCTCTAACTTTCTGCAACTAAAATTCACTAGCAAATTATTAATGATCGTAAAACTATATAAAACATGCAAACTTTCAACATAATTTCTCCTTGTTATTATTCTCATTATAACCTTTACATCATAATTCAATTACTTGTAATCTACACGACCAATTAGTTACATTCTCTTCATCGAACTTAAATGTCAAAATTTGGAATATAAGATTAAAACTAAAATTCATAAACTCACCACGACATCGACTTCCTTGTCCCGTAAATCTTCCAGATTGGCCAAGAAAGACTTATCAACTGTTTTCTGAAACAAAAGCAAATACTTAGCCAATACACGAATGAGGCAATATGATTATGCATATAAAAGTTTCATATGAGTAAACTAAATATTCTATATATTGATAAAATTTATATCATCATATTTTTTGAAAAATTACATGTTGAGGAAGTCGACATCCTTAACAATTATTAATATAATCTACTAAACGTTTAGCATGTCCATATCCAAAATTACAAAATATTAAGTGCACAAGAGAAATGAATACAAACCAAATAAGCTGACCAATTTTTCATCCCATTCATTATAATATTTCTTTACAAAACGATTATAATAGAGATATTCATTAAAGTATTTCTTAAAAAATAAAACCATAGAGAACGAACAATATTGTTCATGCATCAAGTTCATTAAATTATGGAAGATATCAAATGAACTAAAACTTTCCCCTACAACTAAATAAATTTGGATAGCAACCAAGCTTTATAAACATTTACTAATCACATATGTTCAATCCTTTTAATACTGTAAAGATAAAATGATTTTTTTTATTTTTAAAAGAACACATATGATCGGAAGAAATTCAACCTTAATCATATATATATATATGCAACACTTCGAAGAAATCGAGCAATATAGAAATTGAAAAGAAACATCCAATACAATATATTCTCATAGATATGTTAAGTAGTTTTTTTAAAAATAAATTAAAGGAAAAAAACAACAGTTGAATCAAAATAATGGAATACCTTTACAAATAAAATAATTGATTGAATCCCAAATCAGGGAAAAGAAAGAAGGCAAGAGAAATAGTAATCTAACACATATTTAATTAAGGGTAGTAAGCAGGGAATAAAGATTTGAAAAAAAAACCCTTAAAATTGAATTAGGGAAGAAAAATAAATACATTACCAATTAATGAAAGCAGAAACTTTGCCAGGCAAAATCCATGTATCATAGCCCTGCACCCAAAAACATCATTTTAAGAATTGTCATCATATCAACACCATCAACATTCAACACCATTATCAGAAAAGGAATTGAAATGTTCGGACAAAATTAAAACACAAAAATCTACAAATTTTGAGGAATTAAGGGTAAGAAAAATTACAACTAACCTTGTAAAATAAGACAGATCGTTAAGAGAGAGAAAGAGGATTGATAGGGCAGCAGTGATGAATCTTATTTTTTTTAGGAAAGCAGTGAAGAATTTGGAATCAATTTAGGATGGAGGAACTGAAGGAGAATAGTGTCGATTGAGAAGAAGAAATTGAATGAAGTGTTAGTTTTTTTTTTTTTTTTTTTTTTTTTGGAAAATTAATGTGGCTCTTCAAATTTTATTTATGAATATTAAATGGAGAAACCGAAAGGGAATAGCGTTGTTTTAGAATCCTAAAGACTTAAATAAAATAAATAAATAAAACTAAACAGAGAATGAAACTAAAGCGTTGTGTGAATTTTTTTTTGGATAAATCAAGAAAAAAAAATCAGGAAAACAGGAAGTTGGAAAATTTCGCATAATTCAAGAACAAAATCAGAAAAACAGGAAGTGGACAAGTGTCCTTCCAACTTCCTGTTCTAAAATATTAGTATTGATTAGCATGATTGAATGGAGATTTATTATTTTGAAATTAATTAAATGGTGATTTAATTGCTCAATTATACTTAGTCCTAACTAAAAAGTGCCCTAAGAAGCACGAAATTTTTTTACCACAAACCCTAATATTATCGAAAAAAACTGGAGTCCTAAATATCGAAAATTCCATTAGCTATTTTTTTCATGAGTTTTATTGGATTAATTTGATACATAAATCTTTTTTATATGATTAATTGGATGCATGTAAAGGTGTTTGTATGAATTTTGAATGAAATTATGAGAACCCTAGATGAAAATAAATTGAACTAGGTAAATTTATTTTTACCTATGAACTAGGCATAATTGTTGTGTTTGATTCAACTTGAACTAAATTTAATTTTGCAAAAGTTGTAAATTAAACTAACTTGAAAACAAATTTAGGGAGCAACCACGGCTGGGTAGTGCAAACCGCCGGCTGGCGGTGCCATATATAATGGCTGCTTCTGTTGTTGGTTCAGGTGGGAGGCAATAACCTTGGGCAAGGGTTACATAACTAACACCATTGTAGTAGGGTCGAGAGGCGCCTGTAGCCATCATGGTTGGCTTCGCTCGACCGCTGCAGGTGGTGCAAAGCAGACCCACGAATTTTTGATTTTTAAATACAAAAAAAATAAAAAAATATAAAAAAAACATATTTTGGATAATTTTAATAATAAGTTTTATAGGAGATATTTTAACAAATTCCAAAGTTTGTTATTTGACTTGGTAATATGATCATTCCATAATTAATTATAATAATTGATTTAAAATTATAATTGGTTAGTAATTAAAATAGAATCTCCTAAGTTTGTTAGGATAATCATAGAGAAAAAAATGTGACTTATCTTCTATGATTAAAGTTTGATTTGATTCTATCTCATTCTTAAATTAAAATATATGATATATTTTAATCATGGCATTGGAGAATATGGGGATGCATGTTATCTAATTACAAACTATAAAATATGGGATAATTGGGATGTGTTGCCTTAATTAAAAATATTCGATATTTTAGTTTAGACAAGTATGTGTGTTACATGATTTATTTTATGGCAATTTTTAAATATATGATATTATGTTGCTATAAATGACTAGTATGGCCTAATTAAGTTAGAACATACAATTTACGCATCGTGATGTATTGCGGTTTGTGAACCGTTAAATATTTATGTAATTTTATTTAAGTTGTAAATCAAAAGTATGTAAAGTACTTGTAATCCAAGAAAGAGCCCAAAGATGAGAACGAAGGTCCATGACAAATCAAGAATGGGGATCTATGAATAGTCTAAGGAGGAGCCCATCAAAAATAGTTATTTAGGATAATTAGGAGCATGCTAGTTCATTTTTTCTTAGGCAATTTATTATGCTTGCTTATTAGTTTATTGTATGTTGATGATCAAACGCGACAGAGTTCACTTATGTTAATCACATAATAAACTTAGGTCCCAAATAATATCGAGGATTGCATTTTCAAACAAAGTACTTAAAAACCCTTCGATTCATAGCTAGTAATGGATCATGCCTCTGTAGGGTGTTACTAATGATCTTTGAAAATTTAAGGTAATATGTGAGTTTACACACTTATTTGGTTTGCCTCAACAAAATCATCAAATGCGTTTTGGCTTTCGTAGCAAAGAGGTGGGTTAAACATGGAGATGATTAACTATCTAACCAAGTGTTATAAGGAGTTGTAATTAGTATAGGACTTTACTTACCTTAAAAAGGTATGTAATGATTAATGATAAGGCCTTTGTTTGCTTAGTCATTATATCAAGATAGGATCTTGGAATCACTTAATTCGTATGGACTATTAATTGAATAGAGTGTAAACTAGGGTTTGTTTGGTATCACTGTGGTGATTTTTGGTTTTTATTTTTCAAAATCATATGATATATGTCATATAATGAATGGAAAATTAGTCAAACTTATTAAAATCATGATAATTTTCAAAACTGACATTGTTTTATTTTAGTTTTTGGTTTTTTGTTTTCAAAAAGTCTGAAATCTAAAAACAAAAAACGATGTC